ACTGAACAGGCTGGCTTCACATCACTGAGCACTGATTCAAATTATCTTGGTATGAATCTGCTTGCCGATGCAGGAACATACCTATTTTTAACTGCGATTGTTTGCTGAGCTGCAGTGCTAACCAGTTCTCCTCTTTTTGCTTTCAGCATTAAAGTGTAGACTCAGGGCATTGTAAAAAAGCACCCAAAATACTGGGGTCAGTTTGGGTGAAATGCTCCCGTGTTTCATGCCAAGGAATTCTACACTGACAGCTGGAAGTGCACTTGACAGGATGGAGCAGTAAGTGAAAACACAACATGCAGACAGGATTTCTGCTTTTCTTCAACCCAGTTTTACAGAAAGGCTCTTTTCCCAAGGACGCAAATGTCACTGTCGCATCCTCCCGCCTCCGAAAGGCCGCGGCACCTCCCCACCGACAGCCACAGCTCCCGTGGGCAAAACTCCCCTCCGCTCTCCTTCGCAAAGGCACTGCCTTCACCAGCTGACCTCTCACAGGGGTTACTGCTGAACAGGAATGACTATTACCAAGCTAATTCCTTACTCTAATTAAAACAAGGCAACACACACAATAATTATGGCAACAAAGATCAATTAAAAACTAACTAGACAAGCTCCTGCTTATCCACGATGTCTCTTACCACTGATGATTAGAGACCACAGTCAGCAATAGTCTATGACTAAGATTAACCTTAGAAAAAAAAAAAAAAACAAAACCCAGAGAGGGATCAGGATGATGAGAACATCTTTCAGTGCTGAAGATTTGCAAGGAAGCATCTTCTATAAATAACTTCTGCTGGACAAATTACAGTCTAACGGACTCTCTCTTTCCATGATACCAGAGTCTGCTAGCCCCTTGCCGTTCTAGCACGAGAGCAACCAGTCTGGAAATAATTATTTTGCTTTGGCATTCCCACGAGCACTGAGGCAGGCAGGAATTGCTCACGGAATGAAATCCTGCCTTTCTCAAAGGAGGCTGCTGTCTAACCAGCACGCAGGTTTTTAAAAGCAAGCAATAAAAACTGTCAGTCATACAGAAAGTCAGTATCAATTCCGAGTGCTGACTTCCTTTGTGCCCTGTCTTCACCTCAGAGCAGCGGTTAGGAACTGTCACAAAATGACTGATGGAACTAACAACAATATTAATTAGCCAAAGCAGCTCCCAGCGATCAGTCCTGACTCCACTCCGTGAGTCAAGAAATTCTTCTCAGAGTGCAGAGAAGAACGGCGATTTGTGATCTAATGCATTTCATCTCTGAAAGGTGAGGACACGCAGCTACTGCAGGGTAGCAACAGCTCGGATTCTTGTTCACTGTGGCACACCAAAACCTTTGCTACAACGAGATTGCACAGGGCAAATTAATTTGTACCAGATGCTTTGCAGTTAATTTGTTTGTGTACAATGTTACACAGCATTAGCTCCTAGTAGGCAAGAGGCAGTTTCTCCAATGATAAGCAATTAACTCTAGTTTTACATACTCTATATAGCATTTGTACCAGTTAGAAAGTAAATGCATGGCGGGGCAAGAGGAATAAACTGGATAAAGCCATCAGTGAAAAGTAAAAGCAGAACCAGATTTTCTATAAACAAAGCTATTTAAAACTACTTAACGCTCCAAGCGTACCTGGAATTCAATCTGAACCGAATTTCTTTATAACAAAGCATTTAAAATAACCTGGTGCCCTCAGCTGGCGGAACTCCATACCTCCTCCAACAAATTATTTCACGCAATGCTTCGAGGGAAGGATTTGCTTCAACACCCTTCAGCAGTTCAGGAGCAACATTCTGATTTCAAGCTTTGTACACGTCAAACTAATATTTAATTTTGACCTAATATCTGCTTCACAAGTGAAGATACCGGAGAGGTACTGAAAGACAATTTTTCAAAAAAATGAAACGTAAATGTAACCACAAAGGAATGGTTTAATAGATTTAACACTGAAATACTTACTATTCTTTTCTAAGTTCTTCCACTTTCTTGTTCTCCAGATTTAGAAGTTCTTTTGATTTATTAAGTTCCTCTTCATTTTTCAGGTTGTTTTCTTTAAGCACGTCCAACTTAAAAGAGGAGAAAAACCTCATTACACTAATGAAGCTATACAGCTCGTAGGTGTAGCACTCGGAAAAGACAACCAGCGACACGGGGGCCTGGGCCCAGCTGGTCCACATTTTCATCCTTAGTCCTTAAATTAATGCAGCCTGTTTGCACTCAGAAGCATTTGTCTAGCAGAAATGTTATGAGACTTTTTGCATCCGAGTTGAGTAACACAAAAAATTCAATGTCCATTGAAGAGCAGCTTACAGAGATCTGGTGCATACACCCCAATGCAAAAGGTAAAGCTCCAGACCACCTCCATTTTAAACTCTAGATGACTCAAAGCACTTTTTAATTTTAATTCAACATTTATTGCTAAAATTAGCTGTTCCCTTGGTTTTTATTCCTCTAATATAACTGAGAAAAAGTTCTGCTTTACCATACCTTAACCTCTGAGAAACAGCAGGCTGAATGCTGTGCTTGCACCCCTAAGCAATGAATTCCTTTCACAGATCTTGTGGCACGGGATGAATTGTTGCGTATCTGTTTCCTGAGCTTGCCTCTACCACGTAAACACCACAAGCTTCCAAACCTTATTTGTTCACATTCAGCAATACATTATATTACATAACAGATAATCTGCAGCCATTCTCCTGGCATTACAGGACCCAGTGGATTTTTTTTTTTTAATCCAGAAAGTAAACCCCTGCCATCATTAACGTCACCGCTTTTAATTCCCGAGCCATCAGATCTCGCTGGAAATCATTACTGTTTCCGCACAAGCTGTGGTGCTTTGGTGAGCCCCAGCTGTTCACTACCCATTACTACAGGAGTTGCAAAAGAGAGGCCGCAGGGTGCTGAAGATCTGCAGCAAAGATGCCAGTTCAGTGTTAGACCAGATACTCTGGGGCAAAAAATGCATGAAAGAGATTAGCGAGGGCATTCTTCCCTTCTTCGAACCCCGGAGTATCACAAAGCAGAGGGAGGACACGGGCTGGAAATGAGTCCCTAGAGGAACTGCTGGACGTGTCGGACTGTGAAGTTCTCCAGGAGGGCTGTGCCCACATATTCGTACAGAGCACAACTCAGCAGCATTTGTACCTTGTCAGACCACTGTGCCGATGAAGAGGACAGTGGAAAAAAGTAGAAATTATAACACCGCACACGTCCCGATCACAAAGAGGATGTACAGAGCAAGAAGAGCAAGAAGAGAAACGGCGTGGTAACTTTTGTGAGTTCGGAGTACTCTTACTCAGAGTGCTGCAGCACTTCACTGGAGTGTGAAGTTGCACCCTGTACCTACAAACAGGGAACCGAAGCACAGCACGGTCACATTTAAGCAACTTCTCCAAAGCGACACAGCGAGACTGATGGAGCCTCAAGGCAAACCCATGGCTCTTGAATCCGTGATCTGCAAAAGCTGCTGCAGCACCCAGAACTCCTATACTCCTATCACATAAGATAACTTTTTTTTTTGTTGTTGCTGCACCAAGATTTAAGGGACGTGACTTTACACGCTGTAAAGTATTTGACACCACATGTGAAATACAAAAGAACATAGGTCATACGGCTCTATAAAGCACCTAGATTTTCCATCAATATGCACTCATCTCGTAAGTTTTCACAAGCCAGCCAAGACAAGACTGAGTGTTGCGGTGCTAAAATGACAGAATCCACTCTGGCCTAAGCTAATTCTCTGTAATTCCACAGTTGTTCCTTATAAACTAGGCAAAACGTTTCATACAAAAGCATTTAAATGCGATTACTTCGTTCTGTAGCTTCTCGTTTGTCTGTCTAGAGTTCTCCAAAGAGGCCAAAGTTTCAATCTTCTCCTTGTGAATGGCATCCTTCTCTTTGGTCACCTTCTCCACAGTCTGCGAAATGTCTTCTGCCATTTTGGCAGCCTATATACAAAGAGGGGTGGGGGGAAAAAAACCAAGCAGTATTACCACAGGGGGCTCTGAAAGGAAAAGATGAACCACGATGCCTTCTGCGCAGCTCCACTGTTCGCCAGCTGCTTTCCAATTAAACAAGGACTTCAGCTGGGCATTTATTTGCGTTTTGAAGCTGCGCAAAGTATAAAAACAAATGGACATGAGAGGATTCAATTCCATGCAGAAGTAGATCATAACCCCACGCTTGTGTTATCACCGAGGAAGCCCACTTCTTCCTGTTTTAATTCCTGGAGTTCTAATTACCACCACTGTGACCGCCCTTAGATGTCTAACCACTTTAGACAGCAACAGTTCAATAGATATTCACTTCCAACACTGCTCTATTTTCAGAAAATGTGGAATTATAAAAAAGCTGTTACAATTTTGAAAAAGAATTAAAATCTAAATAGGAGATAAAGCCAATTATCACATTATTTCAGCATTGTTCATTATGCCCTCATAAAGGGAAATACTTCACAAGTATATCACAATACCTAGGTAGGCATAACAAATTCCTATAGGATACCTCGATATCAATTTGTATTCAACACTTATTTTATGGGCTTCAGGCCCCCCAATCTGAAATTCAAGATAATATTCAGTATTTGTTGGTGGTGAACACAAAACACTTCTGTGAATAAAAAGAACACCGGAATTGCCAATGCCTTTAACTGGCTGAAAGGCCTATAATGTAAATTTAAATGGTTCTCTCACACTGCTTTTTATCCAATTACAAGAGCAGCACGTTGCTTTGTATTTGTTGAGTCACCCAAATTTGTAATTTAACATGAAATTGCACAAAGACCTAATCTACAACTGTATCTATTACTACTCTAGCTTTGAAGCTGCAGAGTACTTCAACAGAAGGAGCCGCTCAATTTCTCCTACCAGATTCAGGAAACAAAACTTCCTTTTATTCACAGTTTATGTTGTTTTCTTGCAACATTCAGCAACAGCATAGGCTTTTCTATTGAGAAATTTTTTTTTTTAAATTAAAGTGTCTTTCAGACTCACAGTTAGAACTTGAAAAAAATCAAAGTAATATATTGAGAGACCGTAATTCCAGCCTGTTTATACTGAGATGAAGTGCTGACTGTGCAACGAAGTGCAGAGAGGAAACCACGGGGTTAGTGCTCAGGATTAGTATAACCGTACTGGACTGCTGAACTATGTGTTTCAATACCTCAATTTTCTGCGCTACTGTTTGGGCCTGGAGAGTCTCCATTTCTTTCAGTTTCAAAGCCAGACTGTTCATCTCCTCCTGCAGCATCTGGTTTTTGACCTGAGACACCAGCAATTTGCCCGAGAGGTCACTATTCATCTGTTCTAAAAGTGCGACTTCCTCATGCAGTTTATAACAATCCTTGGAGATCTTCTCCTTTTCTTTCAGTATTTCGTCCTTCATGATGATTAGACTCTTCTGTTCAGCAAGCAGTCTGTCGTTCTCCTGAAGCAACCGTATTTGCTCCTGCTCCGTCACCTTATGCCTGCGCTGAAGGTCGTCTAGGCTCTCGGAGACGCCGCTGTGCAAGTCCTGGAGCTCTGCTTTTGATTTAGACAAGGAAGCAAAGTCACTCTTCAGTCGCTCAACACTGGAAGCGAGCCGCTCCGTCTCTGCACAGAGGGTTTCTTTTTCTTCCATGATTTTCGCCAGTTCAGTTTCAGATTTTTCTTTCCCCTGAACTAAGAGTTCTTTCTCAGTCAGCAACTCTTTATTGTTCTCTCCCAGCTCTTCTATCTCCTTCTCTAAGAAGCTGATGGTATTTTGAAGTTCCATACGTTCCAACAAAAATGACTCCTTGTCCAGTTTTCTAGCTTCCTTTTCTACGGTTAAGTTTTCTTTCATAATCTCAACCTCTCCACTTAATTTCTGACACTTCTCTTGCAATTCAGTCCTCTCTCTGGTCAGTGTTTCCCTGTCGGAGGAACAAGTCTTGAACGAAGATGACAGGACCTGCTTGGCATGGGACACAGCAGCCAGTTCGTTTTCTAATGTTCTTTTGGCATCCTGGGCCTCTTTCAGAAGATCTGAAAGGTCACATTTACAGGCTATTAGCTCTTGATTTTCTAGAGTCTTCTTACTTAGTTCTTCCTTGAGGGCTTCAATGGAATCTTGGAGCATAGTATTCTCTTGGGCCAGAGTTCTCTTGGCTGAGACATCCAGTTCATGTTCTCTCTCCATATCAGAAATTGCATTTGCAGAAGACTTGTTTTCATCAAGAAGCTCTGAGTATTTGCTCTCCAATTCATTCTTCTCTTGAAGAAGAGCTTCATTGTGTTTTTCAAATTCCATCGACTTATGGAGAAGAGATTCCTTCTCTAAGTTGAGTTTGTTTATTTTCTCAGTAAAAACTTTCTCAGCAAGTATGGCATCCGCTGCGGCCTTCGCAAGCTTTTCAGCAACTGCCTTATTTTCATTTACAAGTTCCTCCCTTTCAGCCAAAAGCCTTCGTTCTGATGAAGAAAGAGCCTCTTTCTCTTGAAGTAACTGAATACATTCAGAATTCGTTCTCTCTCTTGAGACTTTCATTTCCTCAAGAAGATGAGAGACACTTGCAAGGGAATCCTTCAACTCCACACTGTCTTTCATCGCTTTTTTAAGTTCTTGACGTTCAGTCTCGAGTTCTGTTTGCATCTCCTCCGTTCTCGCTTTTAATGCTTGGTTTTCACTAACCGTATTGTCTAAACTTGCTCGCAGCTCTTCTACGCTTTTAAGGAGCATCTCCTTCTCGGACTGCAGACCCTGACTTGTTTGCACTAGACTGTCCATGTCATTTTTTAAGGCTATATATGTATTTTTAAGATCCGAGTGTTTACCTAGGGCTGAATCTCTCTCTGCAGTCAGAGCTGACACTTCTTGCAGCAGTGCTCTCTGATCTCTGGCCAGGGCCTCACAAGAACTTTCCAGCTTCTGAATAACGTCATCTTTGTCTTTAACAACTGCATCCTTCTCTTCCAAAAGTTTCTTCTGGTAACGCTCCAGTTCTTCCCGTTCTTTGACGTGTTTCTGATATACCACATGCATGGCATCTTCATTGGCCTGAAGTTCTTTCAACTGTTGGAGCAAGGCTGACTCTGAAGACCGGAGAGCATCATTTTCTTGAGTTGTCTTCAGAAGGTCTGCCTGTGCTGCCTCTATTTCAGAGAGTAATTTGCTTTTCTCAGAAATTAGTGCTACCTTTTCTGTGCTTTCCTGCTGGCTTTTGGCCTCAGCTTCTTCCTTCTGCTTTAGGATTTTTTTGTTTTCTGAATTAAGTTCTTCATTTATTGTCCAAAGTTCTTCTTGGTCTTGTTGCATTAACGAAATCTTTGATTCCAGTTCTAGAAGTTTCGACAACAAGGAACCTCTCTCTAATTTTAAAGTATTCCCCTCCTGTGCCAAAGTCTCTTTTTCTGATATCAAACCCCTCATTTTGTCTGACATTAGTTCAATCTCTTTTCTGGCTGATGCTAACACAGGCCTTAAGGACTAAAGAAATAAAGTCAGGGAGAAGGGAAAACAAAAACGAAGTCAAGCAGATGAATGAGAAATGTGGTTTAAGGGCAAACAGAGCTACTGTATTTTAAGTTTTTAAAAAGTGTATACACTGGCACACAGTCCCTGTGCAAACTCAGCTGTTGACAGCCACCCTTAATATTTCATTACAAAACACCCATCAACTGCAGGCAAACTTTTCACTGGTTAAATAAAATAAAATTAAACCATAGTTAGAACGTTTCTCCATACAAGACCTCACCTTGTTTTTAAAACTAATCTCAACAAATTTGCTGAATGTAGATTACTCAAAGAGCCACAGAATGATTCCATGAGAATCTCCGTGAATTAAAACGCAGGGAGTTACATTAGACAATGACTTCCAATTCTCAAATTCACCTTCTATAGCTAATTGTCCTCATGATTCTGTCCAAAAGATATTTTCATAACTCGTTTAATACCAAACACCACATCAGTGGTGTATTTAACCTGTGTGTCAGTTTATACACTAAATACTTTGCTAAAGCATAAAACAAAGATTATAACAAAGAACTAATGACGGATGAAAGCAAGCAGCAATGTCAAAGAAACAGGAGAAAAAGAAAGAAAATTACTAAAGTTAAGCTACATACTAAGTAGTTGCAGATAATATGGGACCACACTACAGAACAAAACTGTGGCTGTGTAACACTTTTAAATGAAATAGTTCACAACGTATTTTATTTAAAATTCACACATTTAAAAAACAGAGGATAACATCTGGCTCCAACTGATTGTGTTGAGCCAGATATCGACAAACACAGAATGTCAACATCAAGGAGCCATATTGCATGGATTCTTGTGTACCCTAAAGCAGACAACCAGTTGGTCGTCTATGCTGCTCTTCCCTAGCCAACATTAATCTACCCTGGAAAAAATTCAAAAAAGAAACACTGCAAAAATCCTACTATGAAATGATGAAGCCTGGCAAAAAAATGTGATTTGCTAAAAGAGAAAGATTTAAACTTTAAATTACTTGCAGAGTAATAAAGCATACATACTTTGGCCTGTTCTGCTTGCTTCTTCAGCTCCTCAGCCTGTGTTTCTAATTCATTGTTTTTCTTTTGTGCAATTTTCAGTGCCTCTTCTGCATCCAGCAAGTTCTGCTTAAACCCTTTGATATCTGCATCGTGTTTAGTGATCATCTCCGAAGTTTCTTTTTCATACTTCGCCTGAAGATCCTTGTACTGATTTTGGCTGGTCTCGATTTGCTTTTTCTGACAGGAGATAAAACAATTGGAGCACAGTTAAAGAAGCAATGGTGCTACATTCTACACATAGCTAGCTTGTGCTTTTTAAAGTTGTTCTTACCATGTCCATCAGTTGATCCTGCATATTCCTCAGTTCTGCTTGATGAATCTTGAGAGTTTCTTGCTGACTCTGCTCAGCTTTCTGTGTTGTCTGCTCCACATTTTTCTGAAGCTGAACAGCCTTTTCATTTGCTTTTGTAAGCTCAAGTTGTATTTGCTCCAGCTCCCTAGAACGACCAAATGAAAGAACACTACATTTTGCTCACAGCACGACAAACACAGAGATGAAAGAGTCTAAATTATGCCGGAGTTCTATCTTCTGTCTAAGCATTTAGAAAGAGATTTAATTATTTAACATACAGAGAATGTTCCACTAAATTAAATACACACAAGCAAGACTGAGCACTTGCCCGTGTGCAGAGCAACACAGCTGCCCGTTACTTGGCCCCACGTCCGGGGTTTTGTAAAGGCAAAGAACAACTATTCTACACATAATTTTTATTTGATACAAAATACATTTTCTCTTGCTAGTCAAAAATGTGACTCAAGTCTTTTACATATCCAAACAAACCAAGCTTATCAGGTAATCACAATTACGTGATCACAGGTAAATCACAATCAAGAAGCACAACAACAAAACAGTCGGGATTATTAAAATGTTCATTTACTCTGGACAATGAGAAGCATGTTACAGAAGAATTTCAGAATTATGAATGTTAGATGTTCTTCAAATCACTCTGGGGAAACTGTTTTAATGAACTCAGTCTGATAGAGTAAGTTCACTTGTCACATCAATGTGACACTCAGGAGCATGTTGTTCAGATATCTACAAAAAGATAAAATGAGAAGCTGCAAATGCAGGAGTAAAGAATTAATGTGAAAATGTTCTGGCAATGACAGAATACCTTTCTTTTAACCGGAGCTCATCATTCATTTTCGTCAGCTGGGCAGAGCTGTCTCCTGAAGACTTCATGATCTCCGCAATATCATTTTCAAGCTTGGCTTTAGCTTCAATCAGTTGCTGTTCTCTCTCTTCTCGCTCCTTCAGTTTCTTCTCCATCACTAAGCAAGACAAAGGTTAGTAGTCTAGTAAATTTAACAGAAAGTGTATGCACAGGCCAGCTAGAAGATAGTAAAGAACTATAAGCAGAAGAATATTGATGCTACAGAGCTTGCAAATTAGCCCTTTAAAACTAAAAATGATGATCATTTGACTTTTGAACTGTTAACTGTAGCAGAAGGTTAAGAACCCTTCAGAAACAGTAAAAAAGCAACTAGTCAAGAAATCTTTCTTTTAGAAGTGATTCACTTAACTTCAGGCCATGAGAAGCTGCTACAAGTTCTACCCATATCAGAGAGTAACCAAGCAACAAAGAGATGCACATCTCACAGGTGAGACAACTCACCGGCTATTTAGCAGAGCAGCAGCAGACCACCAGCAATGTGAAGCTACAGTGAAAAAATGACCCATTCCAGGGCAAGCACTGCCACCAAGAGCAGGAGCAGCCCTTGGAATGACTTCTGCAGTCCCAGCAATACCTTGAAAGGCTTGCTTTACAGGGTACATAATTGCTCTCAACTTCTTTCTACACTGGTTTTAAACGGAGATGTGCAACTAGAAAGATACAGCGAGACTCCCTCCTATGGGACAGGAAGGAGGAGAGAACCAGACTAACGCAGAGCCTTTATAATGTCCTTAAAAACTAAACACTACTTATGGACAAGGCTACTGTGAATTAGCTCTTGTGTTTGTCAAGCTCCAGTCCAGTCCCCGAGCCTTCATCTGGTGTCTGACCACCACCACAGCCTAACTGTGTTGCAACATCAAACAAGAATGTCACTACTGATTTGGAACACACTCAGCCAGGAAGCCTTCTGCCTCACTGCACTATTTCCTTAACATTACCATCACCTGGTTGGGTCACTACACACAGTGCCACCAAAGCTGTCTTCTGCCTAGAAAAACAGCTTTCTTTTGAAGGTACATGCATTTGTGAAAGGATTATATACTGTGACATGGCAAGCCGAGCAGGAGGCATACGAAAGTACAAAGCTGACACGTTTTTCAAAACATTCCATTTTATTACTTCCTTACCCGTCAAACTGGACTTCAGCTGTTCCAGTTCTGAAGACATGAGTGCAAACTGCTCTTCTTTCTGCTTTAGTTTTGTTATTGTTTCTATGCAAGTAAAATTTTGAAAACAAAGTTAGCAGCTATTTAGATGCAGACAATTCCACCTACTTGCAAAGTATATTACTCTTCAGAAGAGAGGCTGCAAGTAACCCTGTCCTTTCCACAGCTGCTGAAACTGCTGCACCGCCAGGTGTAAAGTTGAGAGCGCATAAAAAACCAGCTTTGTTTTGCAGCCTTTATTTTCTGCAGCTTTTTAGTTCATTGTTTAGTTTAGCAGCAGGCATACCTTGCATAGTTTGTTGAACGTTTTCTGCTTCATCAGCTGCACTAGTAAACTTCTCTTTCTGAAAAATGGATAAAAACCTAAGGTCAGGTTTGGTAATCGCAGTGTAATTCAACCACTGAAGTTGTGTTAGGTGTTTTTCAAGTACAAAGCAGAAGAGTCTTCACTCCTACCATAAACAGACCTGAAGTTTTTGAATTACAGTTTAGCATAGCTATATTCAGCAACATAAAGCAAGACTTTTCCTTGCCTTCGTTGCAAGCAAGTCCCTGAACTTCCAAAATAACTTCTGCATCAGCCAGCACAGCAACAGAACTGCAACCACCGAGACCAGCGTAGAAGACGCAATTCCCAGGCTTCTCAAGGCAAGAAGCCACCCATGCTGCTCCCAGGCTGCACAGAGGACACCCGCAACCTCACGATTAATCGCACACCAGAGTTTTCCAGCTTTACCGGCAGGAAGAGATGCTAGACTGTAACAAAAAGGGAGGACACTGAGGAAGATGAGCAGCAAGGCTCTTCCACCAACTTCAAATATTTACTACGACCATGGCAAGATTTTATGACAGAGGCAGTAAAACCTAGAAGCAAGCCTTTTCGTTACTAACTCTGGTGAAGTTTCTGAGAAGAATCCCACCCAACTACAGAATACTTGCAAAACTTAAATTTGTAAAATGAGAAATCGGGTGAAAAATGTCTTCAGAAAACAGTTGTAAGATGCATATAGCAAGCATCAATTTGTACAACAGCTACAATAAAGGGCCACATATTCCTCAGTGAGTAGTCTAAATTTAAGCTAACATGCTGCTTTTGATTTGGTTTAATATTTTATTTGAAAGCCACA